GACTCTGCCGGCGCCCTGGCCTTGGACTCCACAGCCTCCAGAACTGTGAGAAATGAATTTGTTGTTTATAAGCCCCCCAGTTGATAGTATTTTGTAATAGCAACCTGAACAGACTAAGACGGCTCTATTATTCTTTTTAATGGCCAAGAAAGCTGAGGCCTAGAGATACTAAGGTCACACAGCAAGTGAAGGTCTGAGCTGTGACTTTAAGCCAGCCATCTGCCTCCAGGACACACATTCTTTATCCTTTTTTAAACAAACTGAGGTATAATTGACATAACATTATATTAGTTTCAGGTGTACAAAATGATTTGACATATGCATATATTGTGAAATATTCACCACAGTAAATCTAGTTAACATCTGTCACCACAGTTACAGAAATTTGTTTTCCTTGTGATGAGAACTTTATGATCTACTCTCTTAGCAATGTTCAAATATGCAATCCAGTAGTGTTAATTATAGTCACCATGCTGTACCTTACATCCCTGACTTGTTTTATAACTGGAGATTTAGTGCCTTTTGACCCCCTCTGAATTTTGTCCATCCCCAGCCACCTTTGGTAACCACTAATCTGTTTCCTGTATCTATGAGCTCAATTTTATTTTTTCTTTTTTGCTTTTAGATTCCACATATATGATTATATGTTTTTGTCTTTCTCTGACTTATTTCACTTAGCAAAGTACCCTTAAGGTCCATCCATGTTGTTGCAAATGGCAGGATTTCCTCCTTTAGATGATTAATATTCCACTGCACATATACACACCACATTTTTATCCATTCATCCATGAGTGGACACTTAGCTTGTTTCTGTGTCTTGGCTATTATAACAATGAACATGGGGGCATAGATCTTTTCAAGGACACTCATTCTTTATCACTATGCACTGCCTTAAGCCTGTGCAGATACAAATGACCCATAGTACAAGTCCCACAGTCACTGCAGATGTGAGGCATGAAGTGTGTATCTCTTCACTTTAGCTGGGGAGGAATAATTCTGCTATAGGTTAAGTCATATTGGTGGCTCAGTAAAATTGGTAACTGTATGTTCAATGTATATTAAAAATACTGAAGTGAACTTGCACTCCCTGGATTACTGTTTTAAAAAACTGAGGTATATACAGTCAGATGCACAAAACTTAAGTGTACAACTTGATGAGTTTTGACATGTGATACACTCATGTAACCATCACCCAAATCAAGATATGAAACATTTTTTCCCCCTTCACCTTTTCCACCCATCCCGCACATCCTTCCCCTATGGCAACCACCAGTCTGTTCTCTTGAGTTTTTTTATTTGTTCATTTGTTTTTTAGATTCCACATATAAGTGAAATCATATGGTACTTGTCTTTCTCTGAGTTATTTCACTTAGCATAATACCTTCTAGGACTATGTTGTTGCAAATGGCAAGACTTTTCTTTTTTATGGCTGAGTAATACTTCATCATATATATGAACCACTTCTTCCTTAGCCATTCATCTTAGGTAACTAACATTTTGGCTATTGTAAATAATGCTGTGATAAATATAGGAGTGCATATATCTTTATGAATTAGTAATTTCTTTTCTTAGGTTAAATTTCTTAAGTAGAATTACTGGGTTGTATGCTAGGTGTATTCTGTTTTCTGAGGAATCTCCATACTACTCTCCTGCTTTCCACAGTGGCTGCACCAATTGACATTCCCACCAGCAGTGCACTAGGGTTCCCGTTTCTCTACATCCTTGCCAACACTTATTTCTTGTCTTGTTGCTATTAGCCATTCTGAGTGGTGTGAAGTGGTATCTCCTCGTGATTTTGATTTGCATTTCCCTGATTAGTGATGTTGAGCATGTTTTCATGTGTCTGTTGGACAAAGCTGTCTTTAAATAAATTGGAATTCTAGAACTTACCACACTTTCATTTACAAACTATCCTTCGTAAGACTGAGAGTACCCTGCAGGGAGGGGCTGCATCTTTTGCATTTTCTGTTCCCAGTATGGTGCGAAGTGCTCATAAACATTTTGAGTGGAGGTCAGCTAGGGAACCTCTAGGAATACATTTTAATGTACAATCCCAATTCAAGCCCCCACCTTGTTTGGTAATACTTGGCTTGATATACAGTAGTTTGTTCTGATTCTGAATAGTGTATTTCCATAGACAAAAGACTTGCTAAAACCCTGGAGAATATCCAAAATGAATTTCAAGTTATAAATGAAATCGATCAGAGCAGAGAAGAACTGATCCCTAGATATGGTCAAGTATAATCTAGACACAAACAGCTCTGAAACCCAGTAGACTATCGTCTTTGGAGGGGTGTATTAACTGTTGATCTTGTCATCAGATTTGCTTGTGATTATCTGAGAGGTGGTTTTTCTCAAGAGATAGCATAGCTCTAGAAAAGAGGTGAATCTCTGCCTATGGCTCACTTTTCAGTTTCCCGTTTCAACACTTTGTTTCTTGTAATACTGCCTTATCCTACACTTACTCAATAGCACTTAGGACAAGAAAATGCCAACAGCAATTATGTTCCTCAGTAGTTTAAAAGTTATGTGATTAACAGATAAGAAAATGGCTGCCTCCAGCAGGGTGACTATAGCATTACTTCTGTAAAGATGACTTCTGTCTGAAGAAGTAATAAAGTGTGAAGTTACTCTTAAAAGATTTTGAAAACCTGTTAGCCATGAGCTTTATTTTATTTAAAAATATACAAGCACTTTGAAATGTAGACAAGGTTAAAGTTGTTGGAATTTTTAAATGCCACACAAAACTGACACAACAAAAAAATTCCATACCAAATTCATCATTCCAGACTGCCAAATCCATCTACTAATTTAACACTACAGTATTCAGGATAAATCAAACAAGTTACTATTATCATCTTAAAAAAAAAAAAACCCCAAACAACTGAATAGTCATCTGTAATCCACTGTAATAGAAGCACCAGTACAAAGAATTCCATCACAAACTTTGAGCCTGCTTAAAATAATTCTGCACTGAGGCAGAGAGTTGATGCAAACATTCCACATGTGGGCAAAATACTCCCCTATGAGTTCTAACACTCAACAAAATGTCACTGTGTCTTAGAGTGGGCCTGTCCCTGGTACTATGACTTGAGCCAGATCTCAAGGTTCAGATCAGGCTGGCTGGAGGGAAAGCTTCTGGCAGGAAGAGGAATGGGACTCAGGAATGGGACAACTTCTCAAATGCTGGGGACAACGAGACCTGCCTGTTGAGAGCAGGGTTACTTATTGGAACAAGAGAAATTAAAATGAAAATATTAAAAAAGTTAAAACATATATTCCAATGCATATAGGGGAGTTGGAAGTATTCTATAACAAGATCCAGTCTGAAAAATCAATATACATGAGAATTTGGAGAGCCAGACATGCCTTTGTTATGCTGGGTACACTTCCTCAGGGGTCACTACTATACTGTTGGGACAATGAAATGCTGGTAATGTTTTGAAAAGCAGAACTATTTATTCATGATGAACAATATTAGTTAAAATACTTGACCAAATAAAATCCCCGAGGATTACATGGGCATTCAGGCGTACATCTCAGTGAGTATTCATGAGGAAACAGTAAGAAAAGCAGCAGCTCTCTTCACATTTTAAGAAACGTTCTTTTTCAAAGGCTGTTCAGACTTTTCTAGATTAAATGCATGGGCAAAACTTCAGCTAAAGGAAAAACTAAGGAACTGCTTTTCCACTTAAGCTAAATGGGAATGAAACTTAAAATGATCTGCTATAAACTACAAGGTAAAAATGGAACTCAAAAGGCAAAAATCTCTTGGACATAAACATGAACGACTTCTTCATGAACATATCTCCCCGGGCAAGGGAAACAAAGGCAAAAATGAACAAGTGGGACATATCAAGCTGAAAAGCTTCTGTACAGCAAAGGACACCATCAATAGAACAAAAAGGTATCCTACCATATGGGAGAATATATTCATAAATGACAGACCTGATAAAGGGTTGACATCCAAAATATATAAGGAGCTCACGCACCTCAACAAACAAAAAGCAAATAATCCAATTAAAAAATGGGCAGAGGAGCTGAACAGACAGTTCTCCAAAGAAGAAATTCAGATGGCCAACAGGCATGAAAAGATACTCCACATCGCTAGTCATCAGAGAAATGCATATTAAAACCACAATGAGATATCACCTCACACCAGTTAGGATGGCCAGCATTGAAAAGACTAAGAGCAACAAATGCTGGCAAGGATGTGGAGAAAGGGGAACCCTCCTACACTGCTGGTGGGAATGTAAGCTAGTTCAACCATTGTGGAAAGCAGTATGGAGGTTCCTCAAAAAGCTCAAAATAGAAATACCATTTGACCCAGGAATTCCACTTCTAGAAATTTACCCTAAGAATGCAGCAGCCCAGTTTGAAAAAGACAGATGCACTCCTATGTTTATCGCTGCACTATTTACAATAGCCAAGAAATGGAAGCAACCTAAATGTCCCTCAGTAGATGAATGGATAAAGAAGAAGTGGTACATATACACAATGGAGTATTATTCGGTCATCAGAAGAAAACAAATCCTACCATTTGCAACAACATGGATGGAGCTGAGGGTATTATGCTCAGTGAAATAAGCCAGGTGGAGAAAGACAAGTACCAAATTATTTCACTCATATGTGGAGTATAAAAACAAAGAAAAACTGAAGGAACAAAACAGCAGCAGAATCACAGAACTCAAGAATGGACTAATAGTTACCAAAGGGAAAGGGACTGGGGAGGATGGGTGGGAAGGGAGGGATAAGGGTGGGGAAAAAGAAAGAGGGCATTACAATTAGCATGTATAATGTGGAGGGGGGGCACATGGAGGGCTGTGCAACACAGAGAAAACAAGTAGTGATTCTACAGCATCTTATTACGCTGATGGACAGTGACTGTAATGGGGTTTGTGGGGGGGACTTGGTGAAGGGGGAGCCTAGTAAACATAATGTTCTTCATGTAATTGTAGATTAATGAAAACAAAATTAAAAAAAAAAGGAACTCAGAAGAGCATGGTGCATGGCATCCTTTGCTAAGTGAAATACAAGGTGTCATTACCCACTTGATATTCCCATTACATGATGAATGCTATTCAGTTTGCGTAAAATAGTTGATTGCACCGCTTGGAAAAAAATAGTTCATATTTTCCTATCTCTTAACAAAGTACTGGTTATGAAGTCCAGCGCCACCAGGTGACCTTCATCCTGTCCCACACTGCTGAAAACGAATCAAAGGCAGGACGCACGTCCAGGATGGTGAACTGGTAGTCCTGGTTGACTTCGCCACCATCGTAGTAGTCGATGACATATCTGACTTCTTTCCCACAACGGTTGATGATCCAGTCGTGCCTGTCGAAAGGCAACTCATACCTGGAATAAAAACATGCTAGTAGTGAGTGTTAAAATGTGTGTGGGACATTGACCTCTAGGTTAAGCAGTCAGAAAGATAGAGAAGCAGCACACGGAAAAGCCTGCTCTCAGAGTCAAATATCTAACGGGAGGTGATGCTTAAGAGAATCGCAGTCTCTGGTGCTAAAGGAAGGTAGTGCTGAAGAACTGTGCTCAGGTCAGATGGCAGCTTGTCTGTCTACCAGGGAGTAGGGTCAATGGAAAAGAGACCCAGGCCAGGGAGGCCAACTGGGATACTGCAGAAATCCAGGTGTGAGCTAAGGATCTGACTACCTGGAAGAAAAGGGAGGGGCTCTAAGTGCATAGATGCAGAGATCAATTGTAGGAGGGGTAAGAGACAGATCTGAGAACACAGAAGACAACTCAGTTCAATCAAATAATTAGATAGGAAGCAGCCCCAGAAGCCCTATAAAATCTGCCCACCAAGAGGCGAACTTCAGGGAGGAGAAGAAATCTATGGTTGCATACCAATTAAGCTCTGAAGGATAGCAGCACTGTGTTTCTTAGACTAGTTTTGGTGCCAAGAGAAAGGTGACCCGCACCTGAGAAATAAAATAACATGTCTGCACTGATACTCACCCCATCCAGGAACGAATTCTTGCCCTTGGGGAATATTCTTTTGCTTTACCTCCAAACCGGATCAATGACGGACCACAAGGACACTCCCTAGAAATTCCCAAATAAGAAAAATCCATTAGAATATTTTCTTTCCTTTGAGAAATATGATATTGCAATTTCCCAATAATATGCATTTTCCTACATGGAATCTGTAATATCACATGTACAGAAAAAGATAACTTTGAAAACAATTTCAAAAATACCCTATTTGTTAAAAATGTTGCTCTGCTCTTTGCGGGAGTCAGGAAACGGCCTTTCCTTCTGTGCAGGGATATAGGCATAGCCTCAGGAAAAAAAAATAAACACATACTGGGCATCATGTCTCTTTCACATACAGCATCTGGGATTTTTTTCAGACAAATGTAAGAAAATCCTCTTTTTGCATTTGAAGCCAACAACCAGCCTCTATGAAGGAAAGTGCTGGATGGATCACTAGGAACTCAGGTAATTAATTCTGGACCAGCTCTTTAACAAATAACTACACACATGCTGACAGGTGGCAGGGTCCTGACTAGAAAATCCTCTCTCTCTCTGCAGACCCTTGGTGAGGCCTCCCTAGGTGCCAGCTGGCCTGCTCCCTGGCACTGGGGCTCCAGGGGCGGCGTGACACCCCTGAGTCCTGCCCTTGGGAAGCCCACACTTGGCCAGCACAGTTGTTTCCCAATGGAGGGGAGGTGGTAAACACACAGGCCACCTGTCTTGCTAGCTGCTTTCGTTGTTAAGACAGGCTTTGGCCTTGACGCGTGTCCCTAAGGAAGTGGGAGGGAGAAAACGACCTCTAGGGAAACAGGCCCCTATGAGGACCAGCTGAGTTACTTTACTCCTCCCTTTAGGAACTGGTCATTAGCATCTCTTCTCAAGAAGGTCACAGGACGGTCACAGGCAAAGAAGCAAACTCAACGAGAGCAGCTTCTCCTGGAGGCTGCAGCATGTGTCTTTAAAAGGCTCACTTTCATTTTGACCAGACTTTGGAAGATGACCAGACAGGGAGCTGAAACCGACAAACCGAGATCTCCTGTTCTCTCTTCACTTTGCTCTATGATCAGGCTGCAGGTAGGCAGCAGGTGGCTTAAATCACACGCATTTTCAGCTCACGCACTGCAGACGCTCAGGGATGCCCTCAGCAGCCAGCCGCGAGGATGACTCCTGCTGGTCGCGGCTTATTCAGGGGAAAGCATGGTCACAGCACCATTTCCTCCCAGCAGGCCGGCTGCCCAACCAGTAACACCGGGGGAGCACCACTAAGGAACTTCAGAGCCCAAATATTAAAACAAACAGAACACCTTGAAAAACTCATGAATGGATTTTAGCCAAGAAATTAATCAATCAAAGTTTGCCATGCATTTAAAACGTATACACCAACCATGACAGAATCTGGCTTTGTGCAGACTTCCCCGCCCCTTGCTCCCAGAGGAGCCCTCAAACAGCAGCAGCATCCAGCCCGCGGATGCAGGACCCCTGCAGGTGGGGCCCAGCACGGGGTTCCGGCAAACCCTCCAGCTGCTGCTGCTCTGAACAGACCACCCCCGTTATCGCTAACCAACAACTGCATTTCCCGATTCGCCCTGAGAAGGCCCACATGCTAAGATACCTCCTGCTACTTAGTCCTAATGGGAATTCAATAAATCCTGTTGAGTGAACAATACTTTTCCCCCAGCTCCCTGGGGGCAGAGTGTTAGTATCTCCCATCCCACCCGCTCTGCCTTCAGGGGACTGTGGTGCTCCTCCCCTTGACTCGGGGACCAGGCTTGTGCTGCTGCGGGCCGTCTGAGGCTAGGGCAGAAAGGCGATGCAGCGCCCCTGGAGCTCTTTGGAATGCTGGCTCTGGAACCCAGCCACGATGGCGTGAGGAAGCTGAAATAAGCCATACTTAAGAGGCCATGGGTAGGGGCCCTGGCTGACAATTAGCACCAACACTAGGTGAGTAAATGGTCCAGCCTTCAGGGACTCTAGCCCGTGCCTGTCAAGCCATCCCTGACCACTGACTGTGCTGAAGCTGCACACCCTAGGGAGCGGAGCCATCTCTTATCTGCCCCTTCTGCACTCGGACCCACCAAATCTATAAGCTTTATAAAATGGCTGCTGCCTTACATGGCTGCAGGGAGTGGCCTGCCTCTTACTAGGAGAGCACACTGTTTGAATAGAATGTTAAAGTTCTACAAAGCAGATATGAAATAAGATGTTGAAAGATCTCAAACATACTTACGCAACATGAAGGGTTTCCCACTTCAAAATCTCCTTCCAAGCCTGTTCATTATTCTGATTGTGAATCCTAATGATATTATACATATCCTTCTGACTAATATCTTCATCCTTCCACTTCCACCTAGGAAAGAACATTTGGTAAAAATATTACTGATAATGCCATAAAGTTAACCCACATATTCTTTTCAGAGTCACCAAAACCACTTACACAAGTCTCAAGGAATCATCTGTTTTTAAGTTGTTCCTTTTCAGTTAGTACGATCAATTAATGATCCCCTAACTTTTCCTAAGTATTTTATATAAGTGTTTTTCCCTAAACTATTACTGGCTATGATGGGTTAATTTTATGTGTCAATTTGATTGGGCCATGTGGTGCCCAGATATTTGGTCAAACATTATTCTGGGTGTGTCTGTGATGGTATATTAAATGGGTGGACTGAGAAAAAAGACTGTTCTTTTTCCCATCTCCCTGATGTGGGGGGCCTCATCTAATCAGTTGAAGGCCTGTATAAAACAAAAAGGCTGAGCCTCCTTCAAGAAGCAACTCCTTCTGCCAGACTGCCTTTGAACTGGGATCTCTTTTTTCCCTGCCTTTGGACTTGAACTGAAATATCAGCTCTTCCTGGGTCTTTCGCTTGCCAGCTTTTGGACTGGAACTACACACTGGCTCTCCAGCTTGCCAACTGCAGACCGTGGGACTTCTCAGCCTCCATAATGCCTAATAGTAAACCTTTTTATATAAATAAAGATACACATCCAATTAGTTCTGTTTCTCTGGAGAATCCTGACTAACATACTGGCCTTGTACTTATATTCTGATAAGTTTGAAAATTCAATTGAATATTATAAACTGATTAACTTATTAAAATTTTACTGTACATTTGAGGGATAAAAACCTCTAACATTGAATTCTTAGGTGAGTTTGGTGAGCAAATTTATATTCTCAAGTAATATGCTCACTCACTCACCCTTTCTTTAACATCGCATTCCAGAACATCTGCTCGGAAGGATACACCCACTTTTTCTCTGAATCTGCTCTCGGAATGGATGACTCCTCTCTCATAGTAGACAGTGCAAAAGGCTGATCAGGGGCCGGCCTCTGGTTAGGTGGTGGCATCTAAACAAAGTAAGTGAAAGATTTTTAAATGTTGGAAATATGAAGTAGAAACAAGCAAAATAATCAACTACTTTCTGGGAAGCAATGCATCAAACACACAAGGCAGAAGTTCCCTGTTAAACCAGCGACATCAAAATTATAGACCTCTCTGATAATTTGGCTGGTGTGAAGAGTCAGAGCAGCAAAGCTGACTTTCCTTGTTGAACTTCTCACATATGGTGAATCCATGTGGTTAAATTTTCAGACTTTCTCAAGGATTAAGAAGTAAAAACTAGTATGATCTGCAGACATTTCTCAAAATCTTTCTATGACTGGCTTTTCAAAAATGACTTCCCTCTTCTGAGGAGAAGTATCAGAATATATGTACAACACACTTTCTTTTTCAATATTCTTTACTTTTAGGATCCTGCTGATGCTTTCAGCCTTTGAGCTGAATGATTAGAGATGAGCACTGACATCCCCCCACTGGCAGACGGGAAGGACCCCTTCTCCCAGGCCTAGGGGGCCACTGCAGGACCGTTGTGCACACACTTAGCCTAGACCAGGGTTTCTCGCTCTTGACACTGCCGACATTTGGGGCTGGATAACTTGTAGATATGGGAATCTGTTCTGAGCACTGAGGATACTGAGCGACCAGCACCCCTCCTCCCCAGTTGGGACAACCAGCGCCCACCTCCAGAGGCAAAAACCCCAGGTTGAGAACCAGTGGCCTAAAACTTCTTTCTGTGTTAAAAGTGTCAAGGGCTCTCTAGCAGATGCACATTAATTATGAAGTACATGGCCCCTGCTTAGAATGATGGCAACAGACAAGCCAGGTACACTGGGGCCACACCGAGCATCTTACCTGCATCATCACCACAGAGTGTTTAAGAGCACAGGTTGGAAGCAGATGGGGACTCAGTTGGGCTCTGCCAATTCCTCATTGGGTGATGAGGGGCAAACTGCTTACTCTCTCGCTCAGCATCTTCATCTCTAAAATGGGGACTGCTGGCTGCTAGAGTTGTTATGAGGATTAAGGAGACAATGTATGGTACTTAGCACAACAGCTAAAGATGTGACCGAAAGAAGTTTGCTGTTACTAATATTCTTGTTACACATAACCACCCCGTGGGGTAAGGGTCTAGGTCTGCAGGATTCTAGAGCCAGTAGGCTGTCAGAGATCACCCAGGCCAGTGGTATAACAGGGATGCTTTTGGTTGTCACAACTGAGAAACAAGGGTGCTGCTGGGGTCTAGGCGGTACAGAGCAGCAATGCTGCTGAACATCCTACAGTGCTCAGCACAGCCCCACAGGGAATCGTCCAACGTCAAATGTCAGCAGTGCTGAGAGTGAGAAACCCTGAGCTTCTCCACCTTCCCAGCACAGCAAGGACCAGAACACCTTTACTAACTGCAGCTGCACTCCTAATGGGATTTCCCATGTACCAGCTGGGAACTCCATCGCAAAGGGAAACAGTCCCCTGGCACGGCTTATTCCTGGTCAACCTACTCTGACACTTCATGATTACTGTTTTCTTTTTCAGTTGTTCTCTGAAACTAGTACTAGTAACATTCTAGATTTTCACTATGGATGGAATATCACACTTCCTTGTTTTACGAAGCCAGAAAAATCAATCCAAGCAGTCTGCAGTTTGTCTTAGGAGTCCTAAAGGGATCTCTGCATAAAGAGTTCCAGGAAAAGGGGCCAAGTGCGGATTACCAGATTAGAAGGATCTAGGTTGTCCTTATTGTCAAGCACAGCGCCTGTAATAGGACACTGTACATACTCGTACGCGCGATCCTGGTGGGCAGGGACAGAGTTTGCTGTGCTCTCACGGGCTGGACCCGATGGCTCTGCACTCACTGGACAACCTGAAATAAATCAAGTATAAACACAGCATCACCACAGAGAAAGGACATCTGGCTCTCTCAAATTGGGCCCTCTAGTGCTGATTTCTGACCAGTATCAACCAACCATAACAGGTTTTTACTGTTTAAAGCTGCCACAGCTAAGCTAGCCAACATTCTAACATCCGAAGCACCAGGAGAAGGTTTTCTAAATTTACTTTCCTAATCTCAATTTGCAAGAGAATGTATTGCCTACATCACAGTTTTGCTGGACTGATAGCTGAGCTGTTGCAGAGGAACCCAAGTCAGGGCTGTACATCTTACTGGGTCTCTTTTTCTGTTCTCAAGTTCCAGACAAGGCCCAGCTGCAATGAGGCCACAGGAGGCCAGGCTTTCATTACCGATACCTTCTCTGGGTACCGGGGACAGGAGATGAAAATGAGCAGAGAAGCCTCAAAAAGACCCCTGGAGAAAAGTCTGAACACTCCTCTGCTTCTGCTTTGCTGCAGGATTAAGACAAGGCACAGAAAACTATCACTTGGCAGAGGTTCTATTCCGTCAATAGATAGCAAGACTTTAGCAGGAAAAGGCAGACATGAAAGGAAATGATCCACAGTCCACAGAAGATCCAGATACCACTTGGGAGGGAAAGTCTGAACCTACGACAGCAGCAGTGGGAAGGGCAGGAGATGTCCAAGGCCCCAGAGTACTGAAGGGATCAAGTGTAGAGACTGAGAAGCCAGTCTAGCACTTAGGGGAGTGGCAGTGTGGGGAGAGCCACAGCCCAGGCAGACAGCAGGATGGGTAAGGCAGTACTTGTCTTAGCAGCAGTAAGGCCAGAAGACACTGAGGGCTGGATCCCCTGCACAGTGAGATGAGTGTCCTTTCACTGCCTTCCCTCTGCTTCCCCTCCCCAGCCCAATTCCCAGGACCCTGGACAGTCAGCCGCCTGAGGGGTGAAGGGAGACTTGCTATGCCGCCTCTTCTCTGCACCATTCAAAGCACCGGTCTTGATGGGGTCACTGATCCCAGCTGGGTGTTAGAAATGCAAATACATCTTTACTAACACAAATAAGTCTGACAGCTCTTCTGGATACACAGCAGATGAAATCAAACCCTAGACAGGGCTCTATGATCTGCCCAGGGACGCTCAGAGCAGAAGCACAGCTGCTTCATCTGTAGCTGTCTCAACTCTTCCTGTTCAGAGAGACGCTGGAAGAGCAACAGATCTGTCCTTGTCCTAGGTCACAGTGTTTGCTGGCTTCGCCACTTACTAGCTGTGTGAGTTTTAAGTTCTGTTAACTATAAAACAAGGACAAGACCTATACCACACAGGATTATGAAGATGAGAATATAAACTCCATCACATAAATGATTTTGGTCTGTTTAATACGCTGCTGTTCCCTCAGTGCAAAAACAAACAAAACCTACCAATGCCTGGCACAGAATGGGCAGAGTAGATGCTTGCTGACTGACCGAGGGAGGAGTGAGTGAGTGCGATGCAAGGAAATGCCACCACTCAGCAGGCGTACCATGTTGGCTCCTCCCCTCATGTCTTGAAACAAGAAGTCACACATCAGGCTGATTCAGGCCCTACTTTTACATAAATCATCTAAAGCATACATGGACCAATTAAACATGAAAACTTTTCCATTGTCACCTTTGCACCTAAAGAATGAACAGCAAGTCCATCAGGTGATGACGTCTTTTTACACAGATCAATGCTGCAACAGGTGTAGGAATAAAGTCTTGATAAACAAAGACAGTTAGATCTAGACCAAGGTTTCTCAACCTCAGCACTCTTGACATTTGGAGCCGGATGATTCTTTCTTTGTCGTAGGGACTGCACTGTGCACTGTGGCATGTTTAGCAGAACTCCTGGCTTTTACTCACTAAATGCACCTCTCTTCTCAGTTGTGACAAGCAAAAATGTCTCCAGACACTGCCAAATGTCCCCAGGGCAGGGGGGGATGCACCCCCTGGTTGAGAACCACTGAAGGGAAACTTTGAAGATGAAGGCTGATATACACAGCAATCCCTACATTCTCACACATTATCTCAACTAATTGTCACAATAACTCTGTGAACTAATATTATATCCTCATCTTACAGATGATGGGTTGAGAAGTAACTTGTGTACAGTCACATACCTTGTAAGCAACACATAACAACAGAAGGCATGCTGCCTCACTCCCAGGCCTAGGAACGTCACTAGCATGCCATTACTGCCCTTTCCCTAAAATCCTTCTGAGAATTCTCCTCTGCTTTCATTTTCTAAACAAAGTGTCGATTACCTTTCATCTTCCCTTCATGCATTGGACATCCTGAGGGCGGGGATGCTGTCTGATGATCTGAAGCCTTTGAGGTCTGAACTGCGACAGCTGGGGTAGATGCTGACAAGCCCATGGTTGGAATCGCAGTGTTGAATCCAAACAATTCTAAATTCACACGTGCCAAAGCAAAGAGACAAGATTAATGCTGATGCCTGAATTCCAACTACTCTCTTGGTATTTTTAATCTGGCCAACCCTTGTTCTTCCTCCTTCTCATCCTTGCGGAACTCTATCGGACAGGTATCCACTTCAGGGATAGCTTGAATATACTACCCCCTTTGGGAAATACCAGTATGAAATCTACACCTCCCTTTAAGGGCATGTTTCTAAGAGTGTGCGGATTTGGGGGGTAAGGAGAGGCCCCTGAGAAACCACCGCACAGCGAGGGTGTGTAGGCTTGGCGGGAGGGGGTCCTAAAAGGTGGTGATCCGGATAGGAGAAAGCGAGTGGTGACTAGAACCCCGGCCCTGGGGCTTAGCGAGAGGTTGGAGGTCCAGAAAGGGTATATCGCAGAAATGGGATTTGTGAAAGGCAGGAAAGGACAGCAGAAGGGAGGGCACGATCAGAGTCTTCCTCCCAGTCCCCGCGCGTCCCTGACCCAGGGTCTGGTCCGGCTCGAGGACCCCAGACCTCACACCCCACTGGTCTCAGCAAGCCCGCCTCTCGCACCTGACTACTGCCCGGGGCTGCTCCAGGCGGCCGACCCCGCCTTTAACCGCAAACCAGCCACGGGCGGCGTCGCCGCCGCCGCCGCCGCCTTCCCTTTGCTCGGTCACCGCTGCTGTCACGGTCACCGTCGGAGCGCACACGCACTTCTACTTCCTTTCCCGAAGGCGGGACTTCCGGGCGCGTAGGAGGCGGGGCGCGGGCTGAAGAAGAGGGGCTTCCGTCAATTACCAAGGAGCGGGCCCCGCCCCTGCTCAGCTGGGCCTATCAGCGTGAGGGCCGCTCCCTGGCCCCGCCTCTCCCGGCCAGAGCGGGCAGGGAGAGAGTTGAGGCTGGGGAGATCTCCACCTCGAGTGAGGCACCTTATGGGGACGCTCCTATCCTCGTGAGGGGCTGCTTTGGAAGAGTTAGTTTTTAAATTTCTACCTTTTAAATTGTATCATGTCAGTTTTAATTGCATAAATGACTCAAGAAACATCAGTAGATGTCTAGAAGTGGGGCCAACTGTGGAAATGCAAATATGAACAAAGCAAGGTTCCCGCTCCCAAGACCTTCTTCACTGCGTATCTGGACCTGAAGGTCTGTGTTTTCACTTACCTCTAACAGAATTTAGTATTTTTTTTTCCGTCAGGAATGCAGGCAACAAATCCTAGTAGTGTTGGCTCTATGTGGCACTAATCGAAACCACAGAGAAATCACGTCATATGTGGTGGTTGTTTCTGTGTCAAAATGCTATTCATCACTACTTTGAAATTAAGATAATTTTTATTCTTACTTAAAGCGTTAATGAGAAGCACGTGTCTTCCCGTATCACTATAGTGGATCCCTGAAGTAGCCCGGATGATCCCCCAGCGCTGCCAGTGTTGACAGCTGACAGCTCTGGCCCAGTCTCTTTCCAGGAACTGCTCTCTGCCTAAGAACTGCCTCAGGCTAAACCACATCCCCTCCCTGGGGACAGGCTGCAGCCTCTGAGTGGTCTCTGCAAGGGTGCGGAAGCCCAGGCCTAGAGCTTCAAGGGCGACAGCTCAGAAGGGCAATCCCAGTTTCAGGGCGGAGGCTTCCATGGCAACTGGGAAACAGTTCAGCTCCTCCTTTGCCCAGGCCTCCCTCCATCACTCTCACAGCTGTTCAGGAGAGCACCCCTATGCACAAATCATGGAGTCTCGCTGGGTTAATGAGTTTAATTATGATTTGTGTTTGGTAAGGCCAACAGGTCGAGAAATGACTGCCACTGAAGACAGTGTGTTATATCGCAGATTTCAAGAGAAGGAGTACACACCACATCACAGGGACCCCAAGTGGAAGCCCAGGTAGATCGCCAGGCACAGGGAGGGGGAACTGTGGGCAAGAGCCCTCACCAGGGTCTCCATGGGAAGGGACAGGGAGGCAGGGGAAGCAGGTTGTGGGTTGGCTCTTTTGAGTAACTTCAGCAGGCCATGGAGCACACAGCTGTACCCTGGTTACAGTTACCTGGTGCCTGGCCCTGGGGGAATTAGGGCAGGTGAGGTGGATGGTGGCCCAGAGTATGAAGCCCAATAAGGAGGTGGCTGGGGGCTGTGGATTCAGCTGCTCAAGAAGGAGAACTGACCAGCCTCTAGGTAGGTCCTCAAAACTGGCTCAGACATTATTTTTTTTTTAAAGTCTATTATGTTAGTGTGTATTTCTTGGAGAACCTGGTCTTTAACCATCAAAATCTGTTTTTTTTCTATGTTGAAAACTATTTCAATATAATTGTTTTCTTTAGTAAATTCTTGTATTTTGTTTTATGCATATACAAATATTATTCTGAGAAGATACTCATAAACTTTACCAGACTCCAAGGGGGCATATGGCACAAAAAGGGCAAAAACCTTTGGTAATGGGAGAGATAGGCATGCAAATGAATAACCAAATTCACCTCCAATACATGTGTATGCAGACTATTATGGCAGAAAGGAAGAAGTGACTGTTGTGAGGGTGATGGGCCAGAAGTGGATGGGAAGAAAGAGCAAGTCATAGAGGGCTTTATGGAGAAGGAGTGGCTGAAGCAGGTGTGAAAGGAGAGGGGTAGGCGGTCTGAGGGCAGCTGGGACACCTTCATCCTGTTTCCACTCTCCGAAGGCAAAGCCCAACTGCGCTTTAATCTTTCTTCTAGTTTGTCTCTCTGCCTTTCGACCACATGCTAACACAAGCAGGCACACGCAAGCACACTTATCCCTCCCCTAAGCCAGCAGCTCTGTTCAAGTTTGGACGAATTGTAGTTTAGTGTTTACATTATTGTGACTATGAAAATATTTGTAATAACTGATGGTGAATTTTCTTTCTTGTACAACTTTTTCACTACAATTTAATACTTACTTTGTTTTGTCCCTTGGTCTGTCTAGTTTTTAATACTAAGCCCTCCATTTCCTGTGAGCATTGTAAATCTCCTCTCAATGCATTCAACTGTATCAACTACTCTGTATGTTTCACTGTTTTTCCTGGAGACCTCACTCTCAGATAACCTCTCCTCTGCCCAATTCTAGACTGTTTGGAAATGACTTCAACCCGTGTCTTTGTGGGGCTTCCTTTCAGCCTTTTCCTACCCTGGGTTGGATCTCTGGTTCTTGGATATCGTGTATTCATCTTTACATTGCTTTGGGAGCATATCAGTTTTTGAGATCTTGAAAATCAGAAAATGCCTGTGTTTTACCCTCCCACTTGGTTGGTATTTTGGCTTTGTGTAATTCTAGGATTAGAAATATTTCTCTCAGAGTTGTTAGGCAGTTGCTTCATTTTGCCTTCTAGTTTCCATGGTTGATGCTGAGAAGTCAGATGTCCTCTTCTTTCCTTCCTCAGTATTTTTGCATCTTCTTCCTTCCAGTGGCCCCAAAAGTTGTGGGCCTCTTTGCGTTCACTGGCCTGGCATTTGATGGGACCATTCATTCTGGAAACCCATATCCTTCACGTGGGGATATTGTCTTGTATTGTGAATTTTTTTCAAAACATGTTGCCCTCTCTTTCTTCATTCTCTCTTTTCAGGAACCCCTGTTTGCTCATATGTTGGATTCCTAGACTGACACTCTAATTTTCTTATATTTTTCTCATATTTTCTGTCACTTTTTCTTTTTGTTTTACTTTTTAGGAGAGTTAAAAAAAAATTTTCCCAACTATTTCATTAGGTTTATTTGTATTATCATGTTTGAATTTCTGAGATGTGTGTGTATGTGTTTGTATGTGTATGTATATATGGATGTGGGGGGTGGGGAGTATCTGCCTGTGTGTGTACATACTACAAAACAGTGCATGTAGGTTTTCCAGTCCATGGTAATGGCGTATGAACTGTTGCTGTCTGCTCTGAATGTTTAACAGAGAGAATGAACTGAAGTTCTTTTGTAGTTACAAACTGAATTTATGACTAGTCCTGGTTAAATGAGTTCCCTTTCCAACCCTACAGCTGCTTATGTTTACAAAGTGCTGCTATTATATTTCTGAGAGTTCCTCCCATTCCCTGCCTCTTGCACAATTCTCCCTTCTTTTCCATAATTCTGTTTCTCCTGTAATTCCTCATCTCTCCCACAATTCTCCATTCTCTCTCACAATTCTCTGTTCTCTCATAATACTGTTTTTTCACAATTCCCAAATTTCTCCCACAATTCCTTCTTCCTACAATTCTGTTTTTCTCACAATTTCCTGCCTCTCCCATAAGTCCCCATCTCCTTTTCCAGAATTCCCTGTCTTCCACAATTCTTTATTCTTTCCCACAATTGCCTGTCTCATAATTCTCTGTTCTTGCCTACAGTTCTCTGTTTCTCCCACAATTCCCTGTCTTTTCCACAATTTTTGTGGTGGGAGTTATTTTTTTTAAAGGTTTAATTGACTTTTAAAGGTTTAGTAAGGGCTATTCCAGTGTATCAGACACTGCTGGATGCTACAGAACTATTTTCTCCCTGCCTCCTTTTCTTTTTACACAAATGGTAGCATATTTCACATAGTGTTTTCACCCTTGTGTTTGTTCACCTAAATTATCTTTGAGATTTTCTGTGTCAGTATATAAAGGGTTCCTTTTTATTTTTAGATAACAGTTGTACACTATTCCAGTTGTATCGATAATACACTTTATATAACTGGTCTCTTATTAATGAGCTAAGTTGGGATTGTTTCCAATACTTTCCTATTACAAACAATACTACCATGAGTAATATTGTAGTTCAATCATTTCTCATATGTGTGAGCCTATCTGTGGAATAAACACTGAGAATCAAAATGACTGGGTCACAGGAATTTCCTTTTATCTTTGATGGACATCTGCAAACTACCCTCCATAGGTGGCTGTACCAATTGGCACTTCCCTCTAGAAATGTGTGAGAGAGCCTGTTTCCTCCCACCTTCATCAACACAATGTATTGCTCTTTTTGTTGTTGAATTTGTAAGAACTATTTACATAGTAAAATAATTGACTCTTTTTCTATAGTATGACTATTAGTCTGCTTGGGCCATCATAACAGAATACCATAGACTGGGTGGCTTAAATCACAGAAATCTATTTTCTCAGAGTTCTGGAGGCTAGAAGCCAAATGAAGATCAGGTGCCATCAGGGTTGCTTTCCGGCGAGGTTTCTCTTCCTGACCTTCAGACAGCCACTTTTTTGCTGGGTCCTCACTTGGCCTCTTCTCTGCACATGCAGAGAGGGAGCTCTCTGGTGTCTCTTCCAATAAGGACATCAGTCCTATCAGGTTAGGACCCTATCCGAATGTAAATTGGTGCAGCCAAGTGGAAAGCAGTATGGAGGTTCTTCAAAAAACTAGAAATACCATATGACCCAGTAATTCTACTTCTAGGAATTTACCCAAAGTAAACAAAATCCCTGATTTGAAAAGATATATGCATGCATATGTTTATTGCCATATTATTTACAATAGGCAAGGTATGGAAGCAACCAAAGTGTCCATCAATAGATGAACAGATAAAGAAGATGTGGTACATGTATACAATGGAATATTATTCAGCCATAAAAAAGAAAGAGATCCTTCTACTTGTGACATCATGGATGGACCTAGATGGTATTATGCTAATTGAAATAAGCCAGGTGGAGAAAGACAAATACCATATGATTTCATGTATTTGTGGAATCTAAAAATGATACAAAACAGAATGAATAAAATAGCATTGGACTCACAGACACTGAGAAGTGACTGATGGTTACCATGGTGGGTGGGTGGTTGGAGTGGGTGGGAGAAATAGGTGAAGAGGATAAAGAGGCACAAAATCTCAATCATAATATAAATTAGTCATGGGGATGAAAGTAGAGTATAGGGAATAAAATCAATTCTAACATCTTTCTTTGTTGACAGTAACTGCACTAGGGGTGAGGATTTAATAATGTGCATAACTGAATTAGCACATATAATATAGGTGTGTCATGGGGAAGGCAGTATAGCATGGAGAAGAAATAGTGACTATAGCATCTAATGCTGATGTACAGTGACTGCAGTGGGGTGTGGGGGGGACTTGATAATATGGGTGAATGTTGTAACCACAGTGTTGCTCATGTGAAACCTTCATAAAACTGTATATCAATGATACCTTAATAAAATAAATAAATAAAAATAGAAAAATGTATATAACTGTTGAATCACTATATTGTATACTTGAAGCCAATATATTGTATATCACCTATACTTGAATAAAAAATAAAGATTCCGGCCCCACCCTTATAACCTCATTTATATCTGTTTATTTATTTATATTGAGGTGAAATTGGTATAAACATTAGATTAGTTTCAGGTATACAGCATAGTAGTTCGATATTGGCATGCACTACAAAGTGATCAACACAGTAAGTCTGGTTACCATCCATAATCATACAACTGACCCCCTTCACCCTTGTCGCCCACCTCTCAACTCCCTTCCCCTCTGAAAACTGCCCATATATTCTCTGTATCTCTGAGTTTGGTTTTAGTTTGGTTGTTTTTTTACATTCTACATGTAAATGAGCTTATATGACATTTGTCTATTACTGTGTGATTTCATTTAACTTTACCTCTCTAAACACCTATCCCCAAATATAGCCATCTTTGGAGTGAGGGCTTCAACGTATGAATTTCAGTGGGGACACAATTCAGTCCATAACAATGAGTCAGAAACATTTTCTGTTTGTCATTTTTCTTTTGTTTTTGCTTGTGGTGAGTTTTGCTTTGAGTAATTTTCATTACTAATTTTACAGTCTTTTCTTTTATGGTTTCTGGGTGTTGTGGCATAATTAGGAGTACTTTCTTTTAGGTCCTAAATGATTCTTCCAAGTTTTTTCAAATTATAAAAATTTTTCACTTTTTACTTTGAACCATTGATGTAGTTGAGATTTATCCTGGTGTAAGGAATAAGGTACAGCTCAATCCTCTATTTTTTTTACTCAATTATATAAGGACTATTTATGCAGTAAACCACCCGCTCAGACATCCTGACACACATACATAGATTTGAGCTGTCTCCTCATTAGTAAGACATTAAATGCTCATGTGTACTTGGATCTATTTTTGGACTTTTACTCTGAGTTACTGTTGTATCCATGGACACGCCAATACCACATTAGTTTACTATTGAGATCATCTGGCACATCGGTCCCCTCTCATTACTTTCATTTTCAGAAATTTTCCTGATACTTTTGCTTGCTTATATATCTGAATGAAATTTTGCATCAGCTGGCCAACTTAAAAAAAAATCTGGATGGTAATTTTATCCGGATTCTGTAAAATCTATATATTAATTTAGGAAGGTAACTCTTTAGAAAAATGAATCATCCGATACAGGAATGTGCAGTGCCCTCTCAAATGTTCAAATCCTCTTTTGTGTTCCTCAATACCATTTTAAAGCATCTCTTCAGATCCTAAGTATTTCTTGTTGAGTTTATTCCCTGGTATTTAAACTTGTCATTTAAGGGAAATCTTTTCTTTCCTCATATATCCAAATTTATTGTTGGTATGTTTATGAGAATGATTAACTACATTCATCTTATGTTATGCAAATGCTTTGAATTCTTTTATTGTCTTTAGTCTTATTTTTTGTTTATCTCATATTTTCTAGGGATTCTTTCATATAATCTCAACTAATAATAGTTTTACTTTCTCATTTGCAAGCCTAGTGCCATAATTTCTTTTTCCTGCTAATTGCATGGGTTAGGACTTTACTGCAAAATATTGAATAATGAAAGTAGTAGTGAACATTCCTAATTTTTGTGGGAATGTGTCTAATGTTATTTATCCATTAAGCAGTGTGTTAACTTTTAAATTGGCATAGGTACAGTTTTTATAAATCATGTTCATGAAGTATGCATCTATCTCTGTACTATTACGATTTTTAACAAAATCGACAAATGCTTTGGTGAATGCACTTCTATAGAAGATGGCAAAGGGGCTGTTTCCCATCTAGGTCAGTGTGAACTGAACCAGCACAGGCAGGAAGAGATGTCCAGAGGCAGAGGTGACCCTGGGAACATGAGTCCTGGAGGGGTACCCTACTGCTCAGGGGAACTTGATCTTCCATGCACCTGGAAATGCACATGAATCAGATCTTGAGCTCCAGGTGGTAGGGTGGCCAGGCCTAGCTGACAAAGGCTTACATTTTGCTAAAGGGTGAATTTTTTTTAATGAATACTGTACAAAATGTGGTGAGTTGATAATAAAACATTCTGTGGTCTTAAAGTTATATATGTGGGTTTGTGTCTGCACAGTTGCTTTTAATTTTATAGTTTAGAGCAGTGCTTCTCACACTTTAATGTACCTACCAATCCCTCAGATATCCTGTTAAAATGCAGATTCTGACTCAGTAAGTCTGGATAGGGCATGAGAGTCTGCATTTCTATGTCTCACAAGCGCCCATATGATGCTAACGCTGCTGGTCCTAGGACTACACTTTAGGGGGCAAGGCTTCAGAGAACCCCATATGTTGTCCATAGAAAAAAGTTCAGAGATAAGAGTAAGCATTTGGAAACAGGTATAGCAGTTTAAAAGAGTGATTTTATATCTGATGAGTCCAGTAATAAAGAAATTTGGCTTTGATTTAATGTTTGCTTTTTCATTTCATGTTTTTTTAATAAAAATATTGGTCTTTGAAATTTAAAAAAAACTAGATCTTCACTACAGATAATTCAAGAAGCACTGCTTTGAAGTACCTCCTAGTGAGAGAAAGTTGCTTATCTCCCTTCTTTCATGTGGAAGCAAGAGCATTTGTCTGAAGTTTTCAGTTACTCCAAATTTATTTAGCTTTGTAATATATTTAGTGAATAGAAGAGATGAGCATGGCTATTATATTCTTTATAGTAATAATATAATTATCCCCTAACTTTAAGTTATAATTCCAGTAGTAATTATCAGTCATAATAATATACTTGATTTATTTTTTTAATTCCCTTATAATTGCTCATAGTGGCCTCATCCTCTCTTTCATTGTGTTTTTGCAGTGTTATAGCTCTGAGCACCAAGCCACCTGAAGTGAGAGAGGTCTGTGTGCACCGACCTGTCCAAATATATTTTTCCTCTGGTGAGTCTGCTTTGATGCTGGAAATGTTAATACTGAGAAGTGGCTGCTAAAATGAAAATGTGCCCATACTCCTTGTGAAATATCATGAGATATGATATGTATTTTACTGTATCAGGTGAAATAGAACCAACTGATATATAATGCTAACAGTTACATATTTAAAAGAATTTCCACTTCCGGGAAACTCCTTTGAATTTGTCGTGTGTTCATATGCTTTGTTCTCTAGGAGCACTTGACAATATATATGAGAATTGTGGGGTGGAAAAAGGGTTAAAATTAAGAACATCCTATCTGTTAATTTAAGTATTTCCTAAAAATTGTGTGTGGGGGTGGAGGGCGATTATTTTAACAGGGAACAGCACAGTCTGGCCCCCAGAGCACTACAAGAAAACACTGTGAAAACCATCACTTTAAACATTAACTCCAATAGATTATATTTAATAAAAGTAATGCCACTAAAAACAAACCTGGGCAGCATGCTCAGGAAGACAAGTGAGTTTTTGATTACTGGGTGGTGTTTGTTAGAGACAATACCAGGTCCTTGGAAAATAATTATTTTTTACACCTTTCTTCATTGCTCTGTCTTCTCCCTTGCCCCCTCCCATCCTCTGTCCTTTCTTCCATTCTTGCCTCTCCACTATTCTCCTATCTTTTGCTTTTAACAAATTATCGAGCACCTACTATATGCAAGATACTATGCTAGATGCACAGAAAAAGTGAAAGAAAAGATGTGCTTTGGCACTAATAATGAGGCCCCCACACCACTGGGATTTAGGGTTCTCGAACAAAGGGGATTTGATGCAGTTTATCCTCCAAAGCCAAGGGGAGAGGGGTTGGCCAGAGGAGGAGAATGTTCTGGCCAGGAAGGAGACAAGATCTGAGGAAAGGAAGCGGAAGGACACACACTCCCACTCAGGATTTAGGAGTTTCAGGATGCTTACTGCATAGGAGGTTAGCACAGGGTTAGTGTTATTTAAAGGACGCGAGCCTGTCCTCTAATTTAAAAGGGGCCTGGGGCTGGGGCATAGCAGGCGGTGAACCAAAGGAATTTACTGTGATCTGAAAAAAGAGCTGAAGTACTAAATCCCTTGCGGGTAGGGAGGCAAAAACCTTCCCTTGTTTGAGTTGAAGACAAGCCTCTTCAGTCTGGATGTGCCTTCCTAAATCCCACTTCTTCCTTTTCTGGAAAATGAGGTGAAATGCTTATACCAGCCTCTAAAAAGCATTGACTGAATTTAACGTGAATTTGTGAGATTATGCTATAAAAATATTCCTTGGCTATTTCATATGTATATGTTCTCTCTCCCTCAAAATAGTTTGTATTTTTGGAATCCCACTTATCCCACAATTTGATTTTCAGAGAAAACATTCAGTGGCTGTGGCTGGATGAGTTCTCATCTTTAGGCAGCCAAGGCCAACTAGGTCTCTAGGCCATCTTGATTCCCCCTGCTGAGAGTTTTTCTGGATTTAGTGATTTGGTTCTGGTTATTTCCTACCTAGTCTCTGAGAGTGGAGCCGCAGAAAAGAGCCCAGACTGAAAAATCTAAAAACTCTCTTTTGCTTTGAGAACCATGAAGGCAGGTACTGCACCTTCATCCTTCTCTTCTCCTTGATACCTCTCACAGTGTCTGGCATGGGCCTAATGTATACATGGATGGGGGTGTAGAATACCTTCCTGACTACAGGAAGGGGAAATAAAGCCCACAACACACTACCAAGCACAAGTGCAAAATGTGTTGTAGTTAAGACATGCTTTTTCCTCTTTGTTTTCCATAGGACACCTTTCCAAGCCTGTCTAATGGATGGTGGGAGGATGGACTGACGGTGAGTGGGCAAATGGATGAGGGGACGGGATGACAGGTGGGTGGGCGGGGGATGAATTAAATGTTGTGCATCCATTCCTACTGACCTTTGAGACTTCACTGTCATCAGCAACTCTATCACCTATTTCTGAATTTCATCTGGTTGAAATTTTAAATCACTAAAATTTTATTCAGTTGAATCTGTCACTTTTTGTGTAATCTGCTGAAAGTTTTGACAGCCTGACAGTGATGTGTCAATTTACTTTGTGTGGGTCTGTTCTGATATTGGGTTTTGCAAAGTTATACATAATGGTTTATAAACCTTCATTTTTTGGCTTTAAATGTTTTCTCACCTTCTTGGACAATGTTATAAAACATTTTATGGTGGAAAGGTTGACAAGGGGATAGGATGAGTTAAAAAATTATACTTAACAACAGTGATTGAATTAGACCAGAAAAATGGAAAACCAGATCCAGACCCTCTAAATTAAAAAAACACTTATTTGGGGTAATTACATTAGTATTGGACTTTGCAGCTGTGATAGGTAGGAATTTTTTTCAAGGGGCATCGGACTGGTGACATCTGACAGTTGCATGATTCTTGTCAGTTGCATGAAGCTATGCCCCTGTGTCCCAGCAGCTATTAACTCGACATTACTAAGATGCCTACACAAACATTTCATTATTTTCAGTGTGAGAATTTAAAAAATATTTAGAATTTTTAAAATTATGAATTATAAAAAATATATAAAAATTACATTATACGTTATAACGTATTTGTATTTTTAATAAAAATTATAAAAAATATTAAGAATTTTTAAAACAGCTTTGGAGGAAAGAATCGTAACCTAAATTTTTCAAGAGTAAGAAAATCCCTAATGAACAGATTTAAGAAATTGCCACTGGGGGGCAATGGAAGTTCAGAAACTGCCCTGCTAATCCCTGAGGCTACCAAGCACTTTAGCTGGTTTATTTATTCAAAGCTGGAATTTGGACGTGCAAACCACCAAGCTCAGGGAAATTCCTCGATGAGAAACACAGCCCTGGGAAAAACCTACCAAAGTGGAATTAGCACCTTGGCGGACTGCCTTTAACACAAAAAGCCTTCCTTCCTCGTGTGTCTGAAGAATTGACTCCAGTTGCCATCAGTCTGAAACAGAGGAAACTAAGTTAAACAGCAAAGAAATGAGACAACAAAGAAGGGCACTTGTTTCTCCTTACCTGCAGACACATATAGGTGCACAGCGTGAGTGACGCTAAGGCATCTCACAGCCACTGATCCAAGTGGATCTGTGTTTTGGCTAGTGTGTGTGGTTCAGGAAAATCAGGAACTTCCTTGAGGGAGGAGGGAGGTTGTAGAATTTACCTTAGGAAAACTCTGAATCATTACCAACACTTCAGGTGACAGTTAAACAATCTAGTGAGGCAGAGTTTAGACATGTTTAGGAAGGCTCCTTTTGGAAAACAGAGGAAAAAAGTGTGTCTTCACTGCAGCACTAGCGTTACAGCCTCTTGGTGGTGTGCCGTGGGCTTTATTTCTCCTTCCTGATGACCTCTGCAGTGCTTGGGACCACTGGTAGGTTTGGGGTCCAACCCTGGCACCAGAATTTGGCCAGCCCACTCCATCAAGCATTATCAATATGGGGGTGTTCAGCCACCAATCCTACATGGTCTTCTCTTCCTTTCCAAGTATAACTCCAGGGAAGAAATTTTTTCCCAGCCTGGGACAAATTACCTTTGAAACCAAAATTGGTCAAAGGGAGAAATAAAGTGAGAGAAATCTGTTTATTGCTTATAAGCAGTTGTCCACTTCTGCTCGCCTGTCTCTCACAACCTGGCTGCAAAAAGGGACCCACCCAACCTCTCCAGTCCAGATATGTTCTTGCTCCCCTTCATAATCATCTATTGATATGGAGATGGACTACTTCTCTCCACCTCTTGGAAACATCTATTGATATGCACTAAGGTCAGGCAAGAGATTCTGAAAGTATTGCAGTTTTACCCACACCAAGGATACTGTCACCAGTACAAGGATTTTGTCCTGCTTCTACTCCAAGAGGGGCCAAAGGACAGGGAGATGTGGAACTTAAGAAAGCAATTCTGCATGTGCTTTTGTACATAAGAGAGGACTTAAATATGTCCAATAAATATGTTGCAGCCCATGTCCCATATGCTCTCCATTTCTAGAGGCCTCCAACCTGGCAGAGGGACAGCCTGGGAGTTGTAAGATTGCAGCTTGGGTGAAGACCCGTAGATCCCAATGCTCAGTGCCCTGTGCCCTCTGGAAGTTGCTGATACATGTTTCTGAGGACACTCAAAAAATCTGGGAGTGTATTATATTAATGAGGACATTTGGGTTTTGAGTGAGAAGCCCAATTGAACTAATTAAGCAGAAAAAGGAATTCATTGGTTCATATCCCTAGTAAGTCCAGGGGTGGGTGAGGCCTCAAGAGGGCTGCCTCCCTCTCTCAGCTGTGTCCCTCGGTGTGATGGCCTCTTTCCCAACTTCTTTACCATTCTGGGGAATTAGCTCCTGTCAGGTCACATATTCCCCTTGGATTGATTACTGTGTTCAGAGGCAGAGGGGGACAATATGATTTGCAGGGGTCTGGAGTGTTGTAGTTGACAGCCCACCAAGGACCACATGAAATGGGAGAGAGGATGTTCCTCAGAGGAATTGATGCTGGGCAGACTGAAGCAGCATGAATGTACATGCTGATAGAATCCAGGCAGGAGTACCGCCTTTTTGCATAAGCCCACCCACCATCTCAGAGAGACCTAGGTTTCATCTTACTTGAGCTACAAGCATTCTCTGGAGGACATCAGCAAGCCACAAGCCCACCTATTCCCTGACTCATCCCCTCAAAAAGCCCACCCAAAACCTGGCCATAAACAACCTCTTGGCCTGTTAGAGACACTTTTTTTTCCTTTGTTCTGCTGGCCAGAGCAGAGGGGGTCACTCTCTGGTTTAGCAATAAACTTGCCTGGACTGCCAAGTTTGCATACCCTCTTTTCCTTTGTGGGTAAAATTGTTACATTTCCAGAATATCTCGCCAGTCTTCAGTACATCTGCGTATCAACAGGCATTCAGAGGTGGGAAGAAGTATAGCTTTAGTGCATTTGCATCATTCCTCAGGGGTGGAGAGAAGTTCATCTCTGTATCAATGGGTAATTACCTAGGCAAGGAGGGTTTATCTATACCTGAGAGGGGAGGGGAGGGCCAGTTTTGCTTCTGCTGGAGCAGGAAAGAGAGCCGGCCTGGGACTGCAGTTTGTGAGCAATAAGTGGATTTTAAACTTTATTTCTCTCTTTGACTGATTTTGTTTTTTACAGGTATTTTGTCCAGGGATTTCCTCTTCCCAGACTTACATCCTTTCACATGCAAGTTGTGTGTCTGTTTGGACAGGAAGACCAAGAAGCCAAGTAATGGTAAGAGATCCATCAGCCAATAGTAAAATTAATCCCAATTGCAGTTTTGCTTCCTTAAATTCTACCATAGGCCTAATGAAAAGGCTCTGGATTCTTGTAAATCATTTGGGGAATGTCTTTTACTAATTCAAAGAGGATCTAAAAACTTTTCTATTGACAAATGTCTCCATGAAAAGGAACCTGAACTGTAATCAATACAATACGGAAAGCACCATGCGTTCAATATCAGATGCTAAAAAACAAAGGGAACATGCTGTCTAATAATGAAAATGACTAACAATTGTATTTGGGACTAAGGGTCCAAAATTATCCCTGGAAACCCCTTAAGGTCTACGTAATTATTTGCCAGGCTCCTTTAATGCAAGTGATCTGTTTTCTATGTAAATCCTAATCGTACAGAACACATGTCCTGGAGTAAAACATAGACTGAAACAAGATAAAATTTCAAGGAACTGAAGGCCTAAACAGCTATAAGGCAAACGCTGATGAAGTGGGAATGGAGACAGTGGGACATTCCGCCCGAGTGACAGAAGTCTGCAAAGCTGAGAGGGTTGTCCGAAGCCACTGTGCTGATGAATGAACTGCCCAGGCTACAGGCTTGGCAGCCACATTCACAGGCGATACCGATTGCAATTCTGAGGTCCAGGAGGGCAGCCTGGAGCCCTGCAGTGGGGTAGCCTGGGAAGGGTGGCCTTCCACTGTTGCAGTTCCTCTCCAAGAGTATTGGCTGTGATTGTAGAAGTCACTTGGCCTCCCAGACCCTCCACTGCCTCATCAGTGAAGTGGAAAGAATACCAGCCTCTGGAGCTGTCTTGTGGATGAAATGAGCAATCATATATTGGCCTAACCTGGGAGTCAGCACACTTTTTCTGTAAAGGACAGGAAAGTAGATATTTTGGGCTTTGTGAACCCATAGCCTCTGTTGCCCTCGGCTGTTGTAGCAATTGGCAATATGTAGATGATGGCCAATGGTTTATGTATATGTATTGATGGCCAATAAGTTTATCTACAAAATAAAGGTGGCCTTGGAATTCAGTCTGCAGGCCATCCTCTGCTGCCCCCTGGTGTAACTATCTTAGCTCCTCCCTGTTCCCTAAGTGTACTCCTCCTTGCTCACCCTGTTAACCCTCCTGCCCCTATCCCACCCCTCCGAGGGAGTACATCCTTTCTGGACTGAATTGTGCTTCCCCCATTCATCTGTTGAAGCCCTAACCTCAGATGGGACTGCATTTGGAGAGAGGGCCTTTAAAGAGGCACTTAGAGTTAAATGAGGTCCTAAGATTGTGGTGCTAATCCTGTAAGACTGGTGTCCTTATAAGAAGAGGAGGAGACACCAGAACTTTTTTCTCTACCCTGTGAAGACACAATAGCATGGCTGTCTTCAAGTCGGGAAAAGAGCTTTTGCCAGAACCCAATCCTGATGGCACCGAGGTCTGGGAGGTCCCTGCCTCCAGGACTGTGAGAGAATAAGTGTCCATAGTTTGAGCCACTCAAGCTGTGATGTTTTGTTATGACAGCCCCATAGACTGATACAGCGACCCATGAATTAACTGTATGAATGCTGTGGCCAACTTAAATTTCTTTCTTCCCTTAAAAAAATTTTTTTATCTCTCTCAGATCGAGGTAAAAACATCTGCCCTGCTTATCTAACAAAATTTTTGTGAGGCTTAAATTAAATTAAAAACACAAGGTGCAATATAGTGCAAATGATTACTGAGGCATTTCTCTTTAAGTTCTATCACTGATATTTACAAATGTAAACCACCACCTGGGGCAGCAAATCTGGACCCAAAAGTTGAGGCTTTTTTCCCCCTAAGCAAGACTACTGGGTCCATGGAGTGGTGTTTGTCTCTGCTTGTGGGCTTTTATTCTTTGAGAAGTAAGAGGGCTACAAGGAGGCTAGAGGAGGAAACATGTATGAAAAGGATTCCAGTTCCAGTGCAAACAGAGTGCTTACTCTCCACTCTTTGATGGTCAGTGGCATCATGTCCTCATTCAGTAAATACTGATAAAGTCTCCACTCCAAGTCAGGTGCTGTGCTGGGTACAGTAGATACAGAAATGACAAAGACAGACAATGTCTCTGCCTTCAAGATGATATTCTAGTAAGGCATGCGTTCAGGCACACCTGTGTGCGTGTGTGTGTGTGTGTGTGTGTGTGTGTCTGTGTGTGTGTGTGTTTGTGAGAGAGAGAGAGAGGGCAGAGGGGCAGGGCAGGTCAGACTCAGAACAGAGAACAGTTGAATTAATAAAATAATTACAGACTGAATTAACGTCAGGATGAAAACCAACAGGCTGATGTGTCAGAAGTTACAGGGTGAGGCTAGCGGTAGACAAAATAAGCAGTCTTCATGTCCTCTTCATCTTCTCTTTCATCTTCTCTTCCCACAACCCTCATCTCCACAGCTTTCCAGCTCCTAGTTTCTCCAGAAAATGGTGAATCAAGATGATGTTCTTCTTGTTGGTATTATGCCTAATATACAGTTCACAATAGTAATAACAACTGTTGTTAACTGTGCTAGTGAGGAATACTGGTCAGGTATGTTCTAGAAGGTCTCTCAACTGGGATTTGTCTGATGCCATGCATTATTTCTTATTCTCATGACTGACCTTTGTTGTTGGTATGAATTATTCATGTCATCATTACAGATGAAAACACTGAGGCACAGAGAGGTTAAGGAACTTCCCCAAAGTTGCACACCTAACAAATGCCAGAAGCAGTGATTCAAACTAACTTGAAGGCTGACATGACTTCATGCCACACACTTACTTTGCCTGCCTGGCCCCTATCTACTGAATTCCTGATAGTGAAAATTCCCTTCAAGGCTACCAGGGTGATTCTTTTTGTAGTTGTTCTTGCATATAGTTTTACACGATTTACTGATATGTTTGATTAGATTAGAACAGTTTCCCCAATCAGTTATTTATTGAATTGATTATTTTTGTAATTTCAGTAGCTGTGTTCTTAGGGCCATTGGTTAATCCAGAAAGAACATCATGAAAAAGTATTCAAGACCCTGTGTTTCTAGAACTGGTTCTCAAACTGTGTTCACTTGGAGTCCATGAGGGTCACCTGGGCTGCTTGTTAAACATGCTCTTCCTTGGGGTCAGGATGACCACTTGTCCTGCTTTGGCCAGGGTGGACCAGTTCCGAGGATGTGGGCTTTCTGTGCCAAAAACCAAACCAGGACTGTCTCAGGCCAAACCAGGGTGGTCGGTCACCCTACTCCAGAGCCACTGTGAATCGCTAGGGTTCGGCAGTCTGCTTTGAAACAAACCCTCCAAAAGATTATTCTAAGCATACAGAAATCAGAGAGCCACTATACCAGATATGGGAATGAATTGCTGAAAGAACTGGTGACCAGTTTCTGGAGATATTGAGAAAAGATAGATTTTCATCTGTTTGGGTATGTTTGATTCTGTCTGAAATTGAAGTAGAATAATATCACCCAGCCTCCAGCCCATATAACATCAGTTGGGACACTTTTTCATTCTTCAGGTAAGAAATAGGCACTACTTTCCCATTAACACATTGTAGTTGAGGAATCATGGGGTCTCCCGAAAGCTAGAAGGTCCCTCTGAGGCCATGCCAGTTGGGATTAATGAATCTATGTTAACCTGGGGCAGGGGTTCTCCATCTTGGCATCTCAGTGGAATCACTGGGGAGAGTTTTAAACTCGTAACATGTAGGCCTAACTCAGACCAATTTTGCCAGAATCTCTAGGATTGGGATCCAGGCACCAGTAATTTTATGGTTTGAGAACCATGGATCTAAAGCAGCACTGGTTGGGAGTGAGCCATAATTTCCTAGTAGTCACATTTTAAAAGTAAATGAGAAGCACGTGAATTTTAAGAACATACCTGAAATTTTATCACTTTAACCTACAATCACTATTAAAAATTATCATTGACATATTTTACATAAATTTTTTTCATGCTAAGTCTTTGAAATCTGGTGTATATTTTATACACTTGAGCACTTCTCAATTTGGATGCTAAATCTTCAACAGAAATACCTGATTTGTATTTAGATTCTTATACCTGAGTTGTTCTAGACATATTTAAAAGTATTCCAATTACTGAATTCGGTATTAGTTTTAAATTTTTAGTGAATTAAAATGAAAAATGCAACTTCTCTGTCTCACTAGTCAAATTTCAATTGCTGAATAGACATGTGGCTGATAGCTTTGATTATGGATAGCGTGGATCTAGGGTAGTTAGTTTGGGCATACAAATTACTGGGCAATCTGGTTAAAATCTATGTTCTGATGCAGGAGATCTGGGGTAGAGCCTGAGAGTCTGCATTCCTAACAAGCTGCTAGCTGATGCTGCCAGCCCAGGGACCCCACTTTGAGTAGCAAGAAGAGGCAAGAGTAATCTTAAATGAGGGCTACTGCAACTCTGATTTCTCCATTTGCTCAGTGGTATTCTCTCATTTCAAAGGCTAGGAAATGTGTGTGTGTTTGTGCGAATATATATAAAATACATATGTACACATACATATGTACATAAGTATGTGCATGTATCTGAAGATACATATAAATGTGTCTGAACTTGTCTAGACACATAAATAAGCTCTGCAAATAGAACATTTCAGTACTACATGTGTTATTTGTCTCCTTCCCTTTATTTTAAATTCAACTCAGACTTTGGTTCATTGGAACTGAACAACAGCTGAATGTTTGATCATGATTTAAAGTCCGTATATTCATTAGTTTGCCTTTTTAAATGAGCGAAAGTAGCTTCCTGCGTTGTGTTTCAATGTTTGAAGGTATTTAAAAAGTACCTGGTGACCCAGCCTCTGTGGTTCTGTGTACAATGCAGAGTAAGTTCCACTTCCGTTTGGCTCCCTTGTATGTGGATATTTTGTGCCTCAGTATGTGTGTTTCTTTCTGTAGATGCTTTTTCATTCTTCTCGAGACACCAATATGGAAAGGTTATGAATTACTTCTAAAGTATTATTTAAACATTTATTCAATTATTTAATTCATTTGGTTCCTC